AATGGTTGTATGGCTTAAGGTTTATGTTAAAATATAGCTATTGTGCTTTTGATGTGATCATTCCAGGTGAGTTTGCTATTGATTATAAGGCCAAGATAATTTGCTTTTTTAACTATTGGTATTGGTATGTTGAACATTTTTGGTTGAAGTTGTGGAAGTATTTTAATTCTTCTTTTTTGTATAATTAATATTTGTGATTTTCCAGCATTTACTGCAGTTTTCCATTTTAAGCACCAGTCTTCTATTTCGTCTATATGGTCTTGTAGTTTTTGAAGAGCATGATTTGGGTTTCTGGATTTAATAATAATACCGGTATCGTCTGCGTAATAGGCTGTTATGCTGTTATAATCGGCTTTGTTTATAGGAAAATCATAAGTGTATAATATGTATAATATCGGTCCCAGAATGCTGCCCTGTGGTACTCCGGCTGTGATGTTTCTCTTTGTGGATTTTTTGTTTTTGATGGTGATTTGAAATGTTCTATTAGAAAGATAGCAGGATAGGAGTTTGATTATGCCGGGTGGAAAATTCAGCTGTATGAGTTTATATATTGTACCAGTGTGCCATACTTTATCAAATGCTTTGGATATGTCAATCATCAGGAAGGCTATTGTTTCTTTATTTATGATTGCTCTGCCAGTATAGTCTATTATTCGGAGTAACTGTTTGGTGGTATCTAGTTTTTGTCGGAATCCATACTGTTCGTCGGGGAGGGCTGTAAGAAGTGGTTTTATTCTATTGTAGATGATTTTTTCGTATATTTTTCCAAGTATGTTAAGTAGACTGATTGGGCGATAACTCTCAGGGCAGCTTGGGTTCTTATTTTTCTTGAGAAATAGAATGACTGATGCGTTTTTCCAGATTTGTGGGTAGTAATTATGAGCAAGGCAGACATTAAAAATATGCGTGATTTTGCAGATGTAGTTGTTTGGTAATAGTTTTATCATCTTATTCTTTATCCCGTCCTCACCTGGAGCTTTATTGTTTTTCAGTTTTTGTATGATGCAGCTAACTTCTTGATTATTGGTTGAATTTATTGTTTCTGGGATGAGGTGTTCAGTTTGAAAATTAACAGACAAAAATGAGAGCAGATCTATATCTTATACATTATAAAAATAAAAAAAAGTAAATAATAAATATATTGTAAAAAGTGTTGTAACTCACATCAGCAGCCAACAATATTCAAAAGTATGTATTATTGTTGTTGCTGATGATGAGTTTCAACACTTTTATTTATTACTCTTTTTACACTTTTATTTATATTTTTATTATTTGCATCGTTTTGTTATAATGTATAATATATATACTCTTAAATCAACCTTGTAAGGAACTGATATAGAAGATTTTTAATATTGGTTAATATTTTTTAAAAAAACTTAGCATAACTTAATTGCTCTTATACAACCAATTAAAAAACTTTTAAGAAATTGACAGGAAAAACTGAAATGTTTAGTATCCACGTCTGAATGTTCAAGACGTGATTCGTCCGGAACAAGAAAGTTTTTGTAATCAATTATTAACCCAAAAGTTTTGCTTATTTTATAGTTAATATATACTTCTTCAATGATTTATTGAAAAATAAAAATATATTATATATGACTAAAATTAATGTAAATAACTGTAAAATTATCTTACTGGTTTTGGGAATCCTTTCATGATTTCGGGAAAAATATATTTGTCTAGTATAGGATAACGCCTGCGCCTGTGCCTTGCCCTGCAAAATAATAAGATTAGTTTCAATCTATTGCATATAGCTACTACTTTAAATATTTTTTTTTTACTTTTAAGGATTTAGCAACCACTTTATTAAGTCAAACATAAATATAATATCAAACGTAAGTATTAAAATACATTTTTTTTTCTAAATTTAAATGGTTCTAAATTTGATTAGATCCCGGTTCACAACAGGGTATCGAACACCGACACAAGACTCGAAAAAAAAAGTTGCTACCCACACTGTTTAAACATATATTTTATGCTGACAATTTAATTTCATAAATATACGGTAAAGTATTAAATCTTCTATCAATGGTCAATACATTATGAAAATCAAGTACTTTCAGTGACCCAATTTGTTAAAAATCCTGCATTTTAATAATAAAAATTAAATGATATTTCAGCATTTTATAATTTTTAAAATCCAAAAATGTTTGATTTAATATCTATTTAAATGTCTTTCATATTTCACTAAATAAATTTGCTCCAAAAATAAATTTTAAGTAACAATCTTAAAATATAAAAAAAGTGTACCTTGATATAATTTTTGGCGATCTTGTGTTAAGCAGCTCTTTAATTTCATTTAAATTCATGAAAAAGAGTAGATCTTCATCTGGAATACGACCCTCAGAAAGCATCAATTTGGCTAGAGAAGTGTATGCTTTTCGCCAAGCATCGATTGTTTTGATTAACAAAGACTAAAAGGAAAAAAAGCAATAATTTCAGCTGATAAAAGATAAACTTAAGTCCCAGTCCTAGTGTTTTGATTTTATTGGCCACCTGGGCCGTGAAGCTGTCACTATCCCATTCATCTGGAATTTTAGAACTATTTTGGTTAAGCATTAAAGTAAGCAGGCAGTGGGGTTGCTTTTGTGAATGTTTCAAGAACTTTGCTTGAATAACTAAAGAGGAATAAAAAAAATAAAACGAGCAACTTATTCCAAACTATGTTTATTTGAAGTTGAAATAGTAAAGAGTTTTTTCAGCGTGAAGAAACGTTATTTTCAGAAGGGTTGATGTAGTTATTTGTTTTGATAGTTATGATATGAGGCTTCGGAGGTGAAATGTGCAGCCGTTGGTCTATGGTTTTTATCTTTCATATAATTTTCAAATTTAAAGATTTCATTAAAATTTACTGCTTTACATTCTATGGCTTTACTGAAAAACTCTGCTCTTAGTTTGTGATAGAGTTGGTATTTTCAGGTCTGCATGTATACTGGTATTCAGGATGAATCAACTGGCATTGGTTATTTTTCTAAAGATCTTGTTTTGAAATTGGTTTAATTTTTTCAGTAGATGTTGTGGTATTTTTGTCCATACAGGTGAGTATGTTTTGAAATTGGTTTAATTTTTTCAGTAGATGTTGTGGTATTTTTGTCCATACAGGTGAGTATTGGGCTGATCATTGCTGTACATAGTTTAAGTGTACATAGTTCTTTAGTTTAGGTGGCATATTCCGATTAAATGTTTATTATATGGCTATTATTATGAAAAAAATGGATAAATATGACAACCGACACTGACGTCTTCAGGGGGTACCAGCTCCGGAACAATCTCCCTTGTATTATATACAAGAATGTTCCAGTACCATGTTAAAGAATTGTTAATAGGTCTTCGTAATCACGGACATACGTTTCAAAAAAATGGCTGAACAATCAGTTTCTCTTTACCGGGGTACAAACATCTCTGGGTTTAAGTTAAGCGCTCCAAGCCACAAAAATCCATTTGCATACGACGTGAAAATCCGTCGTCTTTACATCAGCCTGCTACTCAAGAGCACCAAACATTATGCGGACTTCACGACTCATGGACCTGAGTCAAGCATGAATTTTCATCAAGTAAGGCGCATAAGAAACCTGAGGAAACTGAAGGACGAAGGCCGAAAAAAGTTTAAGCTAAGTTTTGTTCTTTTCCGTCTTCATATATTAGCAGATTTTTAGCCCTGAACTCAGCCTAGAAAATTGTAGATTCGCAGCCTGAAAAGTAAAATACCCCTACCGGAGCCTAAAAGCGTTAAAAACAATCGTCAAACTATGACTATCTTAGATTCCTTGACTGAATTATTTAATTAAAATTCCTTGCCCCGTAAAGAGTTAAAATATAATTTGCACAAATTGTTTAACTTGAGCCACGATGGCTCAAGGGATAGAGCACTCCCCTTCCAATGAGGTGAACCGGGTTCGGATCCCCAGCGATAACTGGGCGACAAAGAATCTGCATCCGGTTCGCACCGACCACAGTGCTGACGTGATATATCCTCAGTGATAGGCAGATCATGAGTTAGAGTTCCTTTGCCGTCAGGTTAACTGTGGGAGGTTCTCGCGGTCTTCCTCTCTGTGTAACGCAAATGCCGGTTAAATCCATCAAAAAGTCCTCCACGAAGGCAGACTTCTCCCAATACTTCCCTTGTCTTCTGGATTGAGTTCCAAATTACGAGGCTACGGAGTTGAACATTAGTAGCCGAAAACCCAAACATTTGTCTGGCTGTTCATCGACGGTTAAAAAATAAAAATAAAATTTATAGACATAACTTATTTAAATTTATCTTTTCGATTCATTAAGATTGCCTCTTAGGACGTGACTGTCCCATCATTAGATCAAAAGTTATTGAGGTATTCCGCTTTTACTTCTATTTTTTTAGCACATTTTACTGCCCTAAAGAGAGTAAATGCTCTTGTTTTACATACCTTTGATAATTCTCTTTGTTGCACTGCATATTGTCCTCGAGATATTAGAAACTTTAAAAACAATCTACAAACAACACAAATGTTTCATTACCAAGATTTATTTTTAAAGAACAATATAATTCAACCATAATGTATTATTAATATAAGTATTTATAATTGGATTAAAGTTAAAAATCGGTTATATCAAGGTCGAAGTCCTTGGCTGCAAAATTAAAATTGTATCGTGATAATGAAGCTTAGTAATAAAGTAATTAGTAATTAGTAATTCGAGCATAATTATATAAGTTATAAACTTGATGTTTATTTCTATATCGCTTGTAGTTTATATTAATGTGAACTTTCGCGCATTTTGTGTAAAAGCTTATTTCTATATTTAAAATAACATTAGAATTTACAATTTCTATTTATTTCTTTAATTTATAAATTTATTTAAAATTGTTTTAAGTACTATATATATATATATATATATATATAATGACTGCCATAAGAGATCGTTTG